TCAACATCCAATTACTACATATAGTTAATGCTCATTCAATTTGGTCACATCCAGACGCTGCAAGTGTCCCTGTGACGTAATAATGATAAAAATAAGGGCTGAAGTAGACTATTACCTTATGTAATATTTGATCTCTTATATGCAACTCTTGTACTATTTTTTTGAGTATATTTTAATTATGTATTTTTTAAATTTTATCTATTTAACCCTTAATGTTAATTGTCTTTAATGGTTGATACGATGCTGATGACATATCAAAAGTATAATATGTCAATAATGATGTAGCATATGATCTAATAAAACTAAGAGTTAATATTGAAAGTTGAATGCAGTAAAAATTTGAAAAGTACATAATGTGAAATATTTACAATATGATAAATTTTACAGTTTAAATAATTTTTAAATAATAATTAATCTTAAAAATTAAATTGATAAAAATTTAAAAGTATATCACTAAAATAGACCCAAAAAAAATATAGAAGTTTATGTGAGAAAAATCAAATAAAATAAAGACTTATGAGATATTTTGACCTAAAAATAAGATATACGTATAACATATCATAAATGTTGTAGAAAATAAAAATTGTTATAAAAATCAAATTGCACCTCATGTTTTATATAAATATTCAAATTTCACATTGAGTTTTTTTTTTTTTTGTAAAAATTAATATTATAGAATAAAAAATATTTAAATTGCACTATGGCCAATATTATTCATTAACGATAACCACGCATATTTGATGACGTATTTAAATAAAAATCATATGAATGTCATATCATTAACATATGACATCCATGTAGATTAACACAAAAATACATTTGTATCATACATGTTCTATCTTATGCATTAATCCCAAACCAAAAGCTGTTATTGCCACGTTTCACGAACTTTCATCATCACCCAACACTTGTCTTCATTCCCTACCTTATGTATCGAACTTAAACTTTAGAGTGCCTAAATCACTTCTCATTTATGACCTCATAATGACCTAGCTTCTTTCATTGCTTAAGTTTGTTTTGTTGTTACCAACATCTTTATCTCTTATTCAAGTGAACCCACAAAAAGTTACCGTCACAAAGAGTTGGCAACCATGGAAAAAATAATCTTCAGTGAAACAACATTGATGCAAGGCTCGGGATTTA